AACTTCTAACAATAAATATCTTTTATATTTTAATATTAATTAAAATGTTTTAATATTAAATTCTTTTGTATACGTAAATCAAAAATAGGCATAAAAATATTGTTATTATGCAAGTTAAGTATTGGTTTTATCCAGTTACAAAAATTATATTTTTAAGATTACTATATAGCTGCCGATAGTTAACTGTTACTAGGAAAAAGTATATATCTATTTTTACATTATTTTAACTTATTTGCCTTGTTATTTATCATGAAAAAGTTTGTTTTGGCAATAAAAAGATTTCCCATGCATTTATAAGATGTTAAATTTGTTATCGTTTTGCTGCTCCATCTGCATCCAATGCTAAAAAAAAATATTTATATTATAAAATTTATTCTAAACATTGATAAAAATTAATAAACATGTGATAAAAAACTATAAATTATTGTCTGTTTAATAATTAATTTGAATTACTTGAAGCACTTACAAAGTTAAAGTACAGGTAAAGATTCATAATATATTAGGCTATATTAGCATCAATACTTACTTTTTCCATCGCAAGCAACAATTTTTACTTTATCTACTATTGCTACTTCCTGAACCTCACGAAATTCAACATCATTTAGCATAAAAGTCCATACATTATCACAAAATCTATATGTGTTCAATTTGCCAGCCTGTAATAAGTTAATTCATTTAAATCAGATTTTTTTGAATATAATAAAGTCAAGCAAAGAAAATTATACAAATATTGAAGAAATTTACCTTAAATGTAAGTCTTGACTTAACTCTTGTTGCAAGAGCTTGATTAATAGCTTTGTCAAATTGTAACAACACTTTTATTGCAAGCTGTGGCGTTATTTGTCCATACTAGAATATATATCATCTCAGTATTACATATAATACAGATGTTATTTCAGTTACATAAAGAATATATGCAGAATCTATTGCAAGAGTTACTTATTATCTTTTTAATTTTATAACATAAATGAAATTTATTATATGAGGAACAGACTTCTAAAATGCATTTTGTCCAAAATTTCATTTTGTAAGTTAGAGATGGTATAGTGTTTAGTGTTGAAAGACTCGTTTTAATCTACTCTATAATATTCTAGAAGTATTTTTTCACTATCAATTTATATGTTGAAAAGTTAACTAAACATTCAAAGTGTATTACCTTTTGCATGTCCTTTAATTAGAGACAAACAAAATGCATTTACTTAACATTATTAAAAATAGTTTAGCAATTTTGTTTAACATTTTACATATTAGTGATTGGCAAATTGTTATTTTCTATAAAACGCATGGTTTTCCTTGTGGCTTATTTCTTTCTCATTTTCTGAAAATTACAAATTTTGGATAAAACACATTTTGAAAGTCTGCAGCTCATATATAAATGATAAACTTAGCTAGTGTAAATTATGTTATCGTTTACTTGAAACAAATTATTTTTTCTTTCTATACCGCCTAAGATGCTAAATCTAACCTATGTTTTACATCGATAAGTATTCACCTGTATCAGCTCGTCAAGGCTCTCTTGCAGTGTGTTTCCTAACGTTGTGTTTCTATACAATTGATAAGACATTTTGTCTGAAATGTCTCGTGGAAAGTAATAACTTCGAACGGCTAAGCGTGTATCATCAACAAACGACAATTTACCTTAGCACATCACGACCAACGACATTGAATGCAATGCTGTCGTGGCGTGTCCGCGCTCTGCAGGCTCTAACCTTTACTCTCAGAAACGAGCGCATGCAGCGCACAGCGCAGCCTATGCAGCTGGCAGCGCATGGCCTAAATCATTATGTTGGAATTTGTCTTGTAGTCATACGAAGCGAGCACGTATGCAAATAAATCATAATTTTATCTAATAAGAGAATATAAAGAATATACTGTTTTTTTCGATATCGTTTTCGCACCTATGCTTATACTTTTACATATTTATATAATTTTGAATTTAAGTTTCAGTCTATATGGATCGATTGTTCCATCTTTTAAATTTTACTTAGGTAAGTAACAACATTACCCAATCACACGCGCTGATTATCAGATTACCTCACTGGTAAAATTTATCAAAAAGTGAAATAACTGCTCTATATGGGGATAAATTTTGTGCATTATGTATAATAATATGCATGTTTATGTAATAAATATACGTACATGTTTATATAAAAAATTCACATATTTTACATAATTGCCATTATTTTACTGTTTTGAGTATCTGCGTAGTA